ATTTTAATGGTTACTCATATCTGTGTAGCTACGCTCTTTTTATTATTAAACAGTGCATTTATTTATTTACATTTACCAGCCAGGACTCGAATATTCAGGCCGGTAGATGTAAATAAATATACTATTTAATAATAAAAACAAGCATCTACTTAAATATGAGTATCCATTAAAAATAACGTTTAATCAAATAAATTCAAAATATGACGGATTTAATAAATTTCCTAAATTATTGTCTTTCTTTACATTAGGATGCGAAATAGAGTAGTTATATCTATATTTCAAGAACAGGGAAAGAGTTTAAGACTACTAGTTTGGCTTTGGTGAATCACAATTCCGTACGGTTTCCCTAGGGAACGCAGGTTAGAATCCTGTGAGAGAGGGAATATTTTTCTAACAAGTTTACTCGAATATTCAAACCGGTATATGGAAATAAATATACTGTTTAATAAATAAATAAAAACTATGAGTATATATAAAAACAATTAAATGAAGATATATGTAATTTAATCTAGCTCCTTTTATTTATATATGTATGTCTACACACACACACATACACACACACAAATACATACATACATACATATATATATATATATATATATGATTTTTAAAGTATATATATATATATATTTTAATATACTTCTTCTTCTTCTAATAATAATAGTAATAATAATCATAATATAATATATATTATATAATAATATATATTATATTATTTTATATTTTTATATAATATATATTATTATATAATATATATTATTATATAATATATTTTTTATGTAATACATATTTTTATATAATATATATATATTATATAATATATATTATTATATAATATATATTATTATATATTATTATATAATATATATATTATTATATAATATATATTATTATATTATTTTATATTTTTATATAATATATTTTATTATATAATATATATTATTATATAATATATATTATTATATAATATATATTATAATATAATATATATATATTATCATATATATATATATTAATATATAAAATATATTATTATATTATTATATATTATTATTTAATATATTATTATATAATATATATTATTATATTATTATATATTATTATATTATTATATATTATTATATAATATATATTATTATATAATTCTAAATTAATCTAGGCTTGTAGGAAGAGGGTATGTCGTTTCATATAGGCCAATACAAAAACATCACAAAGTATCAAGTCAGCTGAACGTGATGGCCATTTCAATAGCACATTGTCATTATCATTGGCACGCCCGAATCATCTTCCTTTTAGATTCTCATTGAGTTAAGTCCGCTCATTCGCCTTAGTTATCTTTCATACATTTTGTTAAGATTTGAGATCATTTGAACGAGATTCGACTATGTTATTTGACTATAAAATTATGCCACTTTTTAAGGGGTAGTCTGTGTATAATTATATATTATTATAATGGCCTGGCGACTGCATCTAGCATGAAACAGACTGTCGCCTCTAAGTGTTGAATTCTATGTTCACTTTTATATTTTATATTATATATATATATATATATATATATATATATAGAAGCGGATTAGTGGGCAGTGGCTCGGATTGAGGAATCGGAGAGCCAAATTCGAATTCCAGTCGAATCAATTACATTCACTTAGGTGCTAATACCCTTGGGAAAGGTATTAATCCTCTTCTTCTCCCTCCAGCTATGGGTAAATAGCAGGACAGACTCGGTTCTATAGCCTTGGATGGCAACTGGTCTAGGAGAAGAATAACTCTGAATTCAAAACCTGAAGTGTTCAAATAGCGGGGTTGGTTCTGCACAAAGCCTTTGCGTGCACATCGATGTACGCACGTATATAGGTGTACGCACGTGTACATGTAAACTTGCGTCTGTGCTTTGTTATTGATAAACTAGTGTTTAAATCGTGTTATTTTTTGTATTTTTAGGGTATTAATTATGGTTGATTAGGTTATTTGAATATTTATATATAGTGTATACTCCCACACACTCATGTACGCTCTACACGCACGCACATATATTACATAGTATATACGTATTAAAGTAAGTATTTGATTATATCATATGCTATCGTTAATCAAATGTTTCATTTTTATTTAATGGTTAGTAGTTTGTTTATTTTTGCGTTAGTGTTATATACTGAGGTATTAATTATGGGGAATTAGGTTTGTTTGTTTTTACGTATTCATATGTACATGCACACATACGCGTATGTGCATGTCAATATTTATTCGCTTATTTATTTATTAATCATTTTAAAGTTTATATTATATTTATTTATTTAAAGTTTATTTTATATTTATTTTATTTATATTCATTTGTTTATATTAAATTAGTACTTAGATGGCAAAGTATATATTTATCTGCCTACATTTACAGTTAATACTGTAAGAAGCTGCTTTTTTTTATAAATTCACATATAATTTTGTTCGGGATATTGTTTTCTTCTTGTCTCCCAGTGTGTTTTGATAGGGTTGTATTGTTTGTGTATTTTTTCTTTCGAGTGACCTTTTGTGATTGTATTATCTTTCTTTAAAAGATTTTTTTCTGCAGCGTCTATGTAAATTTTTTCATTTATGTTAATTTTATTCGTTACTAGAGCTTTGTACATTATGTTAATTGTTAAACATATACTGTGAAGTGGGCATAATTACATTTAATGGTGTTATTTTGCTGGATGTTATTGTTAATGTTGTAATTGGTATTGGTTTTGAGTATTTTTGTTGTGCTTCGTTATTATAATATCCATGCTATCCATGTAGGTGTAACTAGTTTTTATTGTATTGTTGATAATTTTTGATAATTTGCTGCTTTTAGAAAACTGTTTGTCAATTGCTTTGAAGAATATTTTCCTTCTTTTTGTTTTTATTGTATTATTTTAGGAAGAATTGAACCAAATTATGTTTCTTTTTCTGATGTTTTTGTTTAAATGGCTTTCATTTTTTTATTCTGTTTCTTAGGTCTGATTTTTATGTTTTCTTTTCATTGAATATTTTTACTAGAATTTGTTGAAATTCTTGTATTTATAGATATAGATATTTGAATAAGTTAGGGATGGTAAAAATTTTTGTTAATGTAGATTAGATTGTTGCTGCATGCATACAGACATACATATATATATATATATATATATATATATATATATATATATATATATATATATATATATATATATATATATATATATGCTCAATCCCTGATATTGAGCACTTTACACTTAAAGCATATCGTAAAACTATATATTTATCATATATATAGGGTGCAATGGTTAAAATTTTATATTTTAATTTAGCGCATGCGTGTTTATTTTTGATTTTGTCGACTGGACAGTATAGTTGGGTCAGTCGGGCACCATCTGTGAGAAAAAGAGAAGTATGTGCCTCAGACTCAACACGGAAGGCTACATCGTGCCTTGAGGAGGTAGTGGTACCCTGGGGCAAGAGTTTGGTAGCTGGAAGACCCTATATCTGAAACAGGAATCTGTAACATGTCACACAAGTAGGAGAACCCAGTCGTGGCTGTCATAAAAATTTCTTCGACCACATCACATCTTATATCTGACCATCTAATACACAAGACGGCAGCCCTGTTGATTATAATGCGTAGGGCGTAGTTGAACGAAAAAGCAACAATACTCCCTGTAACTCTAAAGATGAACAGAAGGCAAGGATTATAGCAGCATGGAAACAAGGAAACCGTCCAGAAGTTTCCGATGTTGTCTGGATGCCATGATTGAAGCCAAAGGCGTTTTTATTGAATAAATTTACTCTTCAGTATTTCCAGATATTGGTTTAGTAAATTTGGTAAATATATAATGTAAACAAATGACGTCACACATTATGACATGAACAAATATATATATATATATATATATTATGACATGAACAAAGTCTGACAATTATTTTAAGACATTTTTATGTTTATACATTCTTATACATTTGTTTACATTTGGATACGCTTTGAGCAGATATGAATGTACGTGAGAGATTCATGGAAGATTGTAATTTAAAAACAGTAAAATCGACCTTGCTCCCCGAACGATCCTTTGTGGCTCAATCGGTTAAGGCACGTCAAGCTATATGACGGTTCCGTTTAGGATACACGTTCGATTCCTGTCGGTGGACAAATGTTTTCTATGAAAATTTCTTGAACATTCAGGCCGGTAAATGTTATTAATACTGTTTATTATAAACAGACCATTTACTTAAATTTTTGTATCTATAAAAAGAATGTAAAAAATATCTTAAAATAATTGTTCATGTCATAATAAACATAAATAATATATATATAATATATATATATATATATATATATATATATATATATATATATATATAACTTGATGCCAGTCAGGAGAAGAGGTTAAACACCTTTCACCTCCACTGCCTCAGACGTGTCCTGCACATTAAGTGGCAAGACTGGGTCACTAATACAGATGTCTTCCAACGTGCCAGCATCCCCAGCCTGTTCACGCTGCTCTGCATGGCTGGGGCACGTACCGGCCGCATCCCAAGAGACATCCTGTACGGAGAGCTGGGGGGGGGGTCCCGCCCAACTGGAAGACCTCAGCTCCGCTTCAAGGATGTCTGCAAACGAGACATGAAGCTGGCTGACCCCAACACCTGGAAGGCCGCGGCTGAGGATCGTCAACTTTGGAGAGCCGCAGTCAGTGACGACGTCACGATTGCAGAAGCTGCGAGGGAAGATCAGTAGGCACCAAAGAACGCCAGGAGAAAAGAGGAGGACAACCCCCGTCTCCGAGTCATCCAGTTTCATCTGCGACACGTGCCTGAGAGACTGCCGCTCCAGAGTGGGACTACACAGTCACCAGAGGCGATATAACTCCATCATCTCGAATTTTAAAAAAAGAAAAAAAAGAGAGAGAATAAGCGCTACTCCATCGTCTCCCGAGACAGACGGATGCCGAAGATATATATATATATATATATATATATAGGGCGCGAGATAAAGATAGATATGAACCGACTGAGATAGATAGATAGATAGATAGATAGATAGATATGAACAGACTGAGATAGATAGATAGATAGATAGATAGATAGATAGATACATAGATGAGATAGATAGATACATAGATAGATAGATAGATAGATAGATAGATGTGAACAGAATGAGATATATAAACAGATAGATATGAATAGACTATGATAGATAGATAAATAGATAGATAATGAACAAGCTTATAGATAGATAAATAGATAGATTGATATGAACATAGAAAGATAGATATAAACAGACTGAGATAGATATGAACATATAGATAGATAGATAGATAAATAGATAGATTAAAAGAAAGAAAGTGTCAGATAAGATTGCTTTTATTTGCCCAGATTGCATTTTTTGATTCATTAATTCAGGTCTCAGGAAAGATGATTTGAGAATAGAAATATAGTCGTATATGAAAATCTATAAAACATTTAGAATAAAAATCATGTCCCTGCATAAATAATTTCGAGGAAAGAAAGTAATCAAAATAATCTCCCAATTTCAGAGATATAACGATGCTAAAATATGCAAAAGTTTTAACGTTTTATAACTGTTTTTTTTTTTTTTTTTTTTTTCAATCAGTTCCGAATGTTTAACATTGCCTTCTTTTCAACGACAACGAAAACCTCTTCTATGAGGACACCTGAAAAAGCCGAACAGATACGTTTCGGATGTTTGTAATAATAAATTGCAATTAATCGGGCCCTTTAATTCGTAACAGGTTGTTCTACTCATTTCAATATCTATAGCATCTCTGAGATTACTTACATTATTTACAAACGGACTGTTAATATGGCTTCAACGTTTCGACCATTGATGTCCTTCTTCAGGATAACAGTCCGAATTTATTTTAAATAATTGTTCTAGTTCCACGTGCTGAATGTTATTTCCTTTAACTCAACTGTCTAAGGTTTTGGTTAACCACTTTGTGGTATTGAACTCTATAGAGTGACTGAAACTAACGTCTTTATTCAGTGAACATATGGCATCTGAAGATATCTCAGGATAATTTTTTACTAGTCCGAATAAATTTTTTGTTAATTTAATTCAAGGAAAGATGAGAATCAGAATAATAAATAATTTCATAATATATTTCAGAGATATAAAACGTTGTGAATATGGCAATGAAGATGAGGATAACAGTCCGAATAATTTAAATAATGCAAGTAATCATAATACCTCATTTCAGAGATATAGAGGCTGAAACGTTGTGAATATGGCAATGAAGATGAGGATAACAGTCCGAATAATTTAAATAATGCAAGTAATCATAATACCTCATTTCAGAGATATAGAGGCTGAAACGTTGTGAATATGGCAATGAAGATGAGGATAACAGTCCGAATAATATAAATAATGCAAGTAATCATAATACCTCATTTCAGAGATATAGAGGCTGAAACGTTGTGAATATGGCAATGAAGATGAGGATAACAGTCCGAATAATGTAAATAATTCAAGTAATCATAATACCTCATTTCAGAGATATAGAGGCTAAAACGTTGTGAATATGGCAATGAAGATGAGGATAACAGTCCGAATAATTTAAATAATGCAAGTAATCATAATACCTCATTTCAGAGATATAGAGGCTGAAACGTTGTGAATATGGCAATGAAGATGAGGATAACAGTCCGAATAATGTAAATAATGCAAGTAATCATAATACCTCATTTCAGAGATATAGAGGCTGAAACGTTGTGAATATGGCAATGAAGATGAGGATAACAGTCCGAATAATGTAAATAATGCAAGTAATCATAATACCTCATTTCAGAGATATAGAGGCTGAAACGTTGTGAATATGGCAATGAAGATGAGGATAACAGTCCGAATAATTTAAATAATGCAAGTAATCATGATACCTCATTTCAGAGATATAGACAGATATTAAAAATGAGGACGTTATTCCGAATACATGTAATGTAAATAATAGAAATTACTCACCACAGAAATTTACATAAATTCGAGATGAAAAAATGATAATGTTCATCTTAGTATTTCAATTAACATAATTTATTTTCTTTTAGATTTAAAACTATTTCTTTTAAATTATTTTAAGATTTAAAACTATTTCTTTTAAATTATTTTAAGATTTAAAACTATTTCTTTTAAATTATTTTAAGATTTAAAACTATTTCTTTTAAATTATTTTCCGATATTTTTAAATTTCCTTCTTTTTCAGTGTAATTTTTTTTTTTGCGACATAGGTAATCATGCCTCTCCAAATATCCCTTTTTTTAATTCATAAATTGCCATAACTGTTCTTGAGAAAGAAGACAGTTTAACATTGCTTTCTCTTAAAATGCTGACTAACCAATGCTAAAGAATCCAGTTTTCCCTGCTATTTACCGTATTGATGACATGAATATACGATTTCAATCTATTCTCAACATAATTTGACGGGAAGTTCAACTCGATTTTTCGATTCCATTTCTGTATACATAGTCATTACCAAACCTAGACATCCACAAATTTCTTTCCGCCTTTTTTTTTTAAAACCAATCTCATGAGAGAGTTCATTCAGATTTCTAGATGAAGAAAAATTTTCTTTCTTTTTTTCAATTTTTAAGTAGTATATCGTTTAGTTTAAATTCTATTGACGTTTAGTTTAAATTCTATTGATTTTTATCGCACATCCAGAACCATATTCTTTTCTAACGTTATTTTAGAAATAAATATTTGAATTCGCTAGCCATTGATCGCCTACCTTTTCCACGGCAGGTGTTTTACTGATTAATCCACAACCAATAAGTGTTATCCAGATTTAACCATATATACTTAGACTCTTTATTTCTCCTAATGACAAAACTCCACTGTTTTATTTATGTTATAATATTCGCTCTTGTGAGTTGAAGCATTGTCAATTATTAATTCTTTTTGTCAGTATTTCTTTCATCTTATTTCTAATATTTGTCAGTTGCTTCGTTTCACATAAAAACATGCCAGTTGGCACACTTTTGGAACTTGAAAATCAAAAGAGTCTAAGTAGCTCCCCAATGGTCCGACCCAGCAGGCAGCACCTCCCTATTGCACATAAACGTAGTTCTGAGAGAATGTACAATTAAGCTGGATTTGTGTCATATCTTCCCGTCCTGTCGAGTTTTGGCTAGTTAAACATGGCGATCGGTCGATATTCACTGACGTCAAAGCGTAGAATTGTCGTCATTGTTATCTTTATGATTTAATGACATTTGATTTGTAAATCATACAAATTCTTATCTCGTCTCCATTTTCTTTTCAACTTTTCTTTGATATGAAATGTGTGCCTTTCTTCGACAAAGACTTGTTTACATCCATTGATGAAATAAAGTTTATAATCTCTACTTTAAGAGAGAAACGTTATAATGACCTCTTTAATGTGAAATGGTCAGGCTGGAAGTAGTAATCGTCATTGCATGTCATTCGAGCTTGCTTTTTTTGCTTCGTTTTGAGTATGTAATCCTTTCGAACATTTCGTGTATCGATAAAGTGACATCATAAATTTTGTAATTTTATTCAGTATGTCAATTGTTTTTTTTATTGATTGATTGATGGATTCATGTTTCAAGGATTATCGACCGTCTGTACATTATTTAAAGTCAGATTTTTTTTTAAAAATTGGACCTAAGCTCACCGATTAACAATTCCAACCTATTATACAGTACACCGCACGCAAATCCAAGCTAGGAGCACATGTACTTGTCAAGCGGTCCCCCATCTAGGTAGGGACCAGGCTCGACGGCACTTAACTTCCGTGATCGTACACAAATAGCTGATACAATAATAGAAACGTATTATTAAGACATAATACGTTTCTATTTGAAACACAAGTTTTGAATTAATCTCTGGGTTCTGTGGATGTAATCCAAACGTGCCTCTTCATATATATATATATATGGCATTAAAGGCAAGAAATTTTTTACTATAGGCCATGATAAATTTTAAAACAAAAATACGAACACAGTCGACCGGTTTCGTCCCCTCTCGTCCGAACCTTAAACGGGGAAACAAATTATGAGACGAAAGTCTGTCGCGGATGACGTGAATGAATGGATAGGGAAAAATATAATAATAAAAGTTATAACACCAAAGATGCTAGAGACACACCACATATATATATATATATATATATATATATATATATATATATATATATATATATATTAAATGCGAATCGAAATATGTTTTTTTTTTAATGTTATTGTTAACGGATACAAAATTTTGGAATCGCAACAAATTTTTTGAAAATTTAAGAGAGTGTGTTTTTTACTAATATGGCACATTGACTGATAAACTTTTTTTTTTCATATTGCCAGAATAAATAAATTTTCGTCAAACAGAAAAATATTCGCAAATCGTCTTAATGATGCACTTAATAGGAACAACTTCAAGCAAAAACTAATCAGATTTTGAATGTCTATTCGCCTCTTAATTCTCTAAAGTTATTTGCTCTATTATTATTATTATCTGTAAAAGGGACGACTTCATAACAATCAATCCATTGTATAAACCCATTTACATAGTTCCAAATATTAAGAAATATCTAAGTAGGCCAGGCTATCCCGCCTTTTCCTTCTCATCCATTTTTTTTCTCCAAACTTTCCACTCCTTCAAAATCTCCCTCTTGCGTTCCACTCAACTCAATGTCTCCACTGACGATCAGACTAAGATCTAAAAACAACTGCTTAAATATTACTATATTAATGCCGAATTTTATTTAGATTAAGATCCCTTTAATCAAATTAATTTGAATCGACCTGATTTATCCTGCATAAAAACAGTAAACGGTATCATGCAATTTAACATATTAAAATCTAAAAAGTATAGAGCAAATTTTTGGTTGAGGAAACCGACTACTACTAACCACTAATCTCTTAGCCCTATCTTTAACCAACTCTTCTCTGACACCCTCCCACCCACTACCAATCTAATGTGTCTGTATGGTGTACTGTCTCCATTTGCGGAGGATGTTTCGTTCTGATGAATTGAACATTTCGGTGTTCACGAAATAAAATTATAAACGAAATGGATAATTAAAGTCTCCGTCTTTTTATTATCATTATCACTATATATATATATATATATATATATATATATATATATATATATATAAGAAATATAGTCTTACGCTGTGCTATATTTATGGGATAAAGTGCTCAATACCAGAGATATTGCGTGTGGAAATATAGAAGTGACAGGCTGTTTCATGCTAGACGCAATCATCAGGACTGAAAAAACCTGTCGCCTTTAAGTGTTGATTTCAATGTTCACTTTCATATATATATATATATATATATATATATATATATATATATATATATGTTCGATGCATAACTACATTATTCAAAGATGAAAATAATACTGGCATC